GGCACCACACCACCAAAACAGGGCCCGATACTTGCTGGGAGGCGAGTGACCGTGCGAGCGGGTATTAGGACACGCTTTGGCGGTTTGGCCCAGGCATCTGCTCTTTGGCTGACAGGTGGCAGTGAGCTGAGTGACATCATTACTGCTGTATGTCATGTTCACTTTGCAGCTCCGAAAGGCTCTCCTGCTTCTAAGCCTTTGGACCCAGATGCACAATCTGAGCTTTGGGTTCTGTTCAGAGGGCAGAAACAACCTTGAAAATGTCTTAGACATACCAGTACATCAAAATGGACTTTATTTCTGTCTTTTTCTCCATCCCTCTAATTGGATGTCATCCACCCATCCCTCTTCAAAGCACTTATCCTGGTCTAGGTCACTGGAGATCAAACATATATAATTGGTTAAAGATCTGAATGATTTGAAGCAACCGCTTCTCTGATACTGATCAGAAAGGAGGCCAGTAAAACAGAGAATGCCAAAACATTCTCCACCAGGCTCCTCAGATTCTAACTGTGATGGGATCTCAAGGTAGTCACTTCTCCTGGAAGGCGTCTGCACTGGTCACCCTCCCAGCTGCTTCAGTAGCCCACAGTGTGGTGACCTGCCCTGACTGTCACCCAGGTCTCCAGGTATGTGGTGACCAGGTGACACAGGAGAGGTCTTTGTTGGGCTCACACTTTCTTCATACTAAAGTTTAGGTCTGTGTTTTGTATTTATTTTTCTTGCCAGAATCACATGAAGGATCTTCTAGTCTCAAGGAAAGACTCATCGCCTGATTACTTGCCAACTGGTGTGTTGATTTATGTCTGTATACATCTGAGCATGTGTGCACGTGAGAGAAAGAGAGAGAGGGACTCAAGCACGACGGTTCGATGGGTGAGCAGGACTGCAACAGATGGCTACGGCAGTGGGAGGCCACAGCTAACATAACAATATATAAACACACAAAGCACAGAGTTACAGAGTACACACACTGAGTGGGAAGAAAGCCAGTGTGGAATTCGGAAGATTTAAGGGTATTTAATCCGCATAATTACACCTTCCCAGTAACTCATCAACCAATCAATTAATCTAGGCGTTCATTCATCCCTCTGTGACTTAATTATTTATCTATTTAACTAAAGTATTCCTGCAAAGACATATCTGTTTTCAGTCTTTACAGTCAGATGGATGCTCACCCAGAAGCCCACTACATTAAGCCCAGGACTGATAAATGCTTTTTTAAAGTCTACAACGCTCTCCCCAGGACTGTAATACACGCTTTTGACGAACGTCCTCTCTTGCTTTTCAAGGAGCGATGGACATCTTATATCTTCCCCTATTTGCCCATGAATAATTTCTCCCACCATCAGTTTCCAATGGACTGTGGCAATGGCATGTTCTAAAACCATTCAGACTACCCCTTCTCCACCTCCTTTCTCTCTCTTACTTTTCCTCTTTCTTTTTCTCACTGTCTTGTCTCCTTTTTTTCTCCTCTCTCTCTCTCTCTCTCTCTCTCTATATATATATATATATATATATATATATATATATATATATATATCCCCCTCTTTCTTTGCTAACCATGTGGGTGAGCTTAATAACCAAACAAATGCACCATTTCAACTGACGCCTGAAAAACTTTGCCAGTGAGTAATGTATGATGTTTTGTTTAATTAATTCTTTTTTTTGCTGGGGTGACTCTTTAGGGCAGCTATGCTGTTACGCCGGCCTCTCTGATCTGTCTTGGGATCGTGACGTGCCGCTTCCTTATGCTACAGGCTCCTTTGTCAGGAACAAAGCGGCGCTGCGTCATGCCTGGGACGGCTACGGAAGATGCCCGTCACAGCAAAAGTCGGATCTATATGAGTTTATTTTTATTCAGATAAGCTCCAGCTCTGCCGAATGTGGCTGACTGTGGTGATGTCTATGAAATAATCTGTCAGTTCTGTAAAAGTATCCAGAGGAATGCATTTTAATTTTCAAAAATAAAAACATATCTGTTTGACTTATTTTTTCATCACTACCTCATTTCATTCAGAATAAATAAATACATGCGATATTCCAGAAATGGACCTTCAAAGGTCTCATGAGACAAAGAGTAAGCAGCTTTCTGTGCCAACTGCACATTTACTTAATCGGGATTTATTGACTTGTTGATTGATAGTGTCCCACAGGTTCAAAACAAAAGTCAAACTAGTGGGTCTACTTCCTCTGATTTGACACTAAGACTTACTCAGATACTTTCAGAGGCTCTGGGTGTCTTCTTGGCAAATGCATTGGCATAACTGGCATTAAAAAATCTCCGTATGGAAACATCTTCCAAACAAACACACAGGCCAACTAATCATTTTGCCAGGCGTGAAAGGGGCGTGTAAAGCTTGTCACAACAAGTGATTACTGAGATCCATAAGTGAACTGAGTGATACACCTGCATTGGCCTCAGTGAGGTTGCCAGTGACACTGATGTGCCAGCAGGGGGCACATGAGTCCAGGTGGGCTGACTGAGTGCCAGTATGGTTCACTAAAGCCTTTACAGCTGCAAAATGTTCTTCTATGCCTTGTAACACTTACCATCATGAGAGTGGTATGATACGATTGTAGCTGTTTGCTGGCCTACGCTTATCATTGTAATACATCTATCCATTTTACATAACCACTTATAGTCAGCCTGGAGCCCAGCCCAGACAGCACAGGACACAAGGCTGGGGAACACCCAGGATGGGATGCCGGTCCATCGCAGGGCTCACTCTCACAACTGTACACTAAAAGACAACCTAACCCAGGTAAACGAGCGGTATTGCTTTTCTCATAAAAACTACCTTTTTTTTTTTTACTAAATTATGGAGTGGAAGACTTGGAGCAGCCAAAGCTATTAAAGAAGTAACTACAAATGAATATCATATAATATGACAGGATATTGTAAGTATACAGCACTTGAATTATTTATAATATATTATAGTTTACTATTTATGTATCTTTTATGGTAATAGAAGAACTATCCCTATCGAAGCTATTTATTTAATTTTACTTAGCCTTATTTCATTATATTTTATCCCCGTTTATGTTCACTGGCAGCTGGCAAATCCAGTTTGTCTTGTGAGGTTTATAGAGAGGCATAGGTGTTACCAGGGCAGGTAACGTTGGAGGAGCCTTCTGACAGGGTTACAGGGATACTGACGCACTGAGGTGCCAGTTTCACAGAGCGGCGCGGCTTCGTTCAGATGTTCGTAGATGCATCACTAGGATAATTGCTGTAAGCAGCTCAAGCACAAGGTGGAGCATTACTTTGGAGTCTGATTTCAGCGAGGGAGACGAGATAGAGAGGCAGCCGCGGGGAGGGGCACGTGTGACAGATGGGAATTTGGGACAATTCTTAATGCGTAATGTTTTCCTATAAGCCCTTAACGTGTCAGTTTTATTTTTCACACTCATGATTGAAGTTAGCATTATTTTGAAGGACAAGTACATGATTTACGGGCATATTGAAAATGACACTTGGAAAATCCTCTTTCTCGGATATTAACGTTCTTGATACCTTCCTGTGAAAAATCATTTTAATATGCTTGTGAAAATCACTAAATTACGGCTAGGCACCATATATAAAATAGTAGGCCTATATATTAATGCTGAAAGTTAAGCTTATCAGAGAAGCTCGATGTAGGGCGCTATTCCCCTCATTCACTGTCACCTAACACCTACATACTATTGTGCCCGAAGAGAGCCATCCGCGCAAATGGGTCACCTTACTGTTCGTCACTTAGCAACTTATCGGGTTCGCTTATCAAGAGCTTCTTTACAAAACACTGCATTGCCAGTAAGTATAAACTGTGACGGAAGGGAACAACAGCTTAGCTGTCCTCCCACCGCCACTATATGGGGGCACTTGAATGTGAACGCAGTGTGAACGCAAAGCCCCCGTAGCAATTCCGTCCCGCTTGGCCGGTGTTTTATGTCCATGTTTCATTTATCTCGGTGCCCCAAGTTCAGTCTTTTCATTTCTGCACGTACAATGCATATTAACATAATGGCAATTTTAGACATTTCTTTGTAAAGAACATGACATTTTTCTCATTGGTTCTAATTAAACGCCGGTATTACCTGTTAACATCTTCACGCATGAACAACATACAAAAGGTATTCATCCACTTTTTCGGCGTTGTTCACTCATTGGCTTTAATGTATCCAGCCTTTCTATTTGAGCATATATTTTCAGTCTGCACTTATTTGATCGAATTTTAAATGATCACCACATACCTGATCAGTATAAGCGGTCGGAAGATGGATGAATGGATAGACGGATTTTGAAACGATAATTCTAAGTGGGTTGTCAGGTAAATGCGGACCTCCATATAACCGCAAACTTAAAATTGCCCTTTTAAGTGATGAGCAGAGACTCCGCGGAGCATATGAGTGCGTCAAGCCAGCAGTCAGTCAGTACTTCAGGGCAGACCGTAACACCGCACACTTTTACATCCTGGAGTAAAAGCACATGTCCTTTATGTCCAGGTTATGACAGTTCATATGCGGTGCTTTAATTATGGCCTTAAACTGATGCTGGAAAATCAGATTTCATTTTTAAATATCGGCAATTTGTAAAGCCATCTTAATCAAACCGGGCGATGTTGAATCTCCTGTTAGTATAAATATTATGTAGCCTATGCAATGAATATATAAATATATACATAAATATGTGTGTAATAATGTAATAATTTAGTTTTACGAAGAATTATTTTTTAAACCAGAAAAGTACCTCATAAGTTGGTGCATTACAACTAGAGGCATATACAGTTTATTAATATGCCTATACATTGAGTTATAAATTCAACATTCAAGTTATCCACATAGCAATAAAATAATTACACTCTACCTAGAGCTGTGGGGTCGCACTGCAATAATGTTCAATAGCATGATGCCATTGCCCTTTTAAGCCTATCCGTCGCCTTTTTACGCAGGACCTCTCGGAGTATTTTGGGCAACGCCGCCTACAGGCGAAAGAGGGCAGTGCGGCGGCGCAGCGTTGGCCGCTCAGAGAGAGGCTGCCTTTGCATTGGAAGCCGGCAGCACACAGCGCTCCGTTCGCGTTGCAGTCTGGTCGCAGACGGTAGCGGAGCTCCGCGAGGGTGCGCCGGGTACGGCACTGGGAATGTTTGCAAGTTTGGGAATTTATCTATGGATGCAAGGATATCTGACATAAGTACGTGATTCTGTAAGTATTACATGGATTCTTCTGCCGTTCCTTAACGCTGTTTTGGTTTAGAATGTTAAGTTGGTTTGGATTGAAAAAAATATTCAGTTTCGGAATTGATGATATTCCCCAATCTTGAAGGCTTTTTTTTTTTTTTTTTTTGCTGTTAGGGGCTTCGGAATGTTTTGGGAACGGGCAGTACGTACGTGTATATTTTGTATGTGGTTGTACGTGTGAGAAATTGTTTCGGGGGAGAATGTTTCACAATCAATGCAGCCCTTAACCCGGAGCAGTAAACTTTGCATTCCGCGCTCATCGTGCCGCAGTTTGATCCGGTGTCCGCGGTCTCCGCTTTTCCCTAAAACTGTTTGCGGGAGTTGGCGTTTCGGCAGCCGCGGGTCGCCGCGTTACTGCGCGCAGGGTCTCTGCCTCCACGACTCCCAAGGAATGCAATCATTTCACTGCGGAAACCCGGAGAACCGCCGCCGATCCCGATCGGCACTCGCTTATTTGATTATTTGTTCGCTTAGAGCTAATCTGTTTTCCGTAAACCTAAAATAAAACGCGGCAGCAATAGTTAACCAACATGAGGTTTATTTGCTTTAAAACAATTCCAAGCATGCCGCTGCCCCCAAACCCATTTATTTTGGATATAGTTAAAAACAACGGGGTGTGTTTTTTAACAGTTAAAACGGCATTTAATATATTTGCACCTAAATGCAGTTTACGTGTGGATTAATTGAAAACTGTAGAGGTGTCAGTGTTTTATGATTTGTAAGAACATGATGGCATGCGGAGTCTGGCGTGTCCAAAGACTGAACACCCGCTGCCCAATTCGGCATCTTCCTCGGCTGTACTGCCGGCTTCAGCGTTAACTCCTGGTTGCATTTCTATGGCAATGTTATAAACTATTGCAGAATAAACAGGATGCGGTTTTGGATAGGCCTGAAATCAGTGTTTTTGTTCCATCGCCCCAGGTTAGACTACAAACTATTTATTTTTATGTACCGGGGGAGTGACTGGTTTCTCACGGGACCTCTTGATCGTTTTGATTTTTCCCCCCAATCAATGACCTTATTACTCTATTATTATAGCCTTATTATAGCCAGCAGTGGCCGTAATTTTTTGAATTTGCTGTTAATCACTTGTCCGACTTAAGCAGTATCGATCGAGTTACTTGCTAAATCTCTCTAGCATATTAGTGATTCCGTGGCGATCGTGTCCGTGCGCAGATCGTGCATCCGCTGCCTGCCTTATTTCTTTTTGTCTGCTGTCGTCTTGGTTAATTTGCCTACCAAGTGTTATGATTGGCATACCGCTCGGTTGACTAAGGTTTATATAAATGTAGCTGTAAGTGGTTTCGGGTTTGATGAAATCCTGCGGTTATTCACTACGAGCATATTGGTTATTTACAGATCATAAAGTTGTTGTGTTGATTTCCAGGTTGTCTCTGCTCTTTAAGTAAATATACATTTAGATAGGTCTTCAAATGTTTGCGTACGTTTTCAACGCATACCTTGCAGCGGATACCGTCTATTAAGGATTTCTGTACGGTGCAAGAGAAGAGAATATTTAATTTACTTTTGCTTAATTGTGCATTTTAAATTTGTGACCTCTGCGATGGATCACATATATTAGCCTATATGTTGTACAAGATAAACCCGTATTACAGCAGAAGACACCAGAAAAAGTTAATCCCGGTGTCTATTTTTTCTGATGTTAAGCCTTTGCGTCCCGAACTGATGCAGTTGGAAAAATGAGGTTGCACAGATATGAGCGCAAAGTGGCGGATCTATGTGTATAGAATTTGGACAGGGGCCACTGCGCCGACACTGTCGCTGAACTGGAGAGCTGAATCCGACTGCGTTAAGTGCCAGTGTTTGGAGTCTCATACATTTTAATAGACTAAAAGCAACGCGTTTGCTGGGGCGATGCATGCGGTCCCTCTGGAAGATCGGACCCACATCTTTGTGAACATTTGGATTTGGGTCAAGTAAAAACTATTTTATCTATGCATGTCTCTCCCAGTTCTGCCATCGGCGGAGTCTTCCCTGTTCCTGGAGAATGGCTTAGTAGGGCAAAGCAAAACTGACTGGTTTATTGACCTAATCGAAGACTGATCGTCTTGTATTGGAAGACAAAGGCAGCGCTCCACCCCCATTTAGATAAATATCAGTGTTATGAAACTTTACCTACGACTTGTAGGTTATGCGCATTAAAATTACTATAGGCTATATTACATGCAATGAATAAATGGCCAAACACGGGGAAGATTTTCTACATTAATCCCAGGTGGAACTCGAAGTCGTACCGATAAGGCGCTCGTTAAAAACAAAGTCGAGTTACAAAAGGGATTAAACTGACGACTAGCGGTTTAACCATGTGGGACAGCATCTGTCCAACGATTTAAATTAAATTAATGTGTACACACAGATACTTAATGGCCTGGTTGAGTTATTGGTTTTGTAGCAAGTACAGATATAGTATTAAATGCATGTGGTTTTGTAAATAACCCTTGCACATCAACAGTGAATCTTTTGGCCAATATTAAAGTAAGTCACTAATTGCACTTATCTCTCCAGGATATTAAGAACCCATTGAGTTGTGTGATGATATGCACTATTTTAGGCTTGATAAATGACTTTCTGCAGCTGTGGGTATGAACGTGGCTACCGTTTTAAAGCGGAACATAAGCAGATGATGAAATTACTTCAGTCAAGATACTGTATTAGCATACTGAGATGAAAAGTGCTATCCATCATTTCGGTATTAAAGACGCTGGATCCAGTATTGTCTAAGATCCCCTGTGGATGTTTGATTTAAACCTCTGCAGCTGGATGGACTGTGAAAGCGAAACGGCATTGTTTAGATGGTAGACTTTCCCGCTGCTTTCTGGTAAATGATTTTGGACAGACGACTTAAATACGCATGCAGTGGCTGTAGTTTATATTCTGTCCGTACGTTAGTCAAGTCCCTGTAATCTTTCGTCGTTCCCAAGAGTTTTGAAATCAAAGTTTATTGCTGAACTCTTCGCCTATCAACATCTGGAAAACTGAAGACTTAATTTAAAATAAAGTATGTCGTGCACTTATGTAAAGAATTTTGAAGGTGGATGAGTAATATTACACAACGAGTAGGAAGGGCTTGGATGCGGTGATGTGAAATCTGCGGTCACTTTCCGTGCGGTGAACAGTTTATTTGCTGCTGATAAGCTCCCATGGCAGCTGCGATAGCGCCGTTTACACTGGTTTAATTAATCGCCGCAGTCAGTGTTTGCGTTGCTGTTACTAATGCCCGGCGTCGCATGTTATGAGAGGCGGCGGCAGCCAGAAGCGGGGCTTGCCGTCGTTTGCACTGTAAACACAAACACCTGTACAACGTCTCGTTAAGCGGCGGGCTGTGCGGTCCGAGCTACCTGACCAGGTGGCTCCTGTAAAGCACCTTTAATTTGGCCCTGGGACAGTCCCTACCCTACCCTCGCTTCTCAGCACTCGTCTCCCTTGCCCGGCGCTGTCTCGTTGCTGCGACTCTGGACTTGCCTTTTCGTACTGCGGGTTAGCTGCTCCTAATTGCGGTTTTTTCCCTTCCCTCCCCCACCGCCTCATTAGGTGAAGGCTCCAGAATCTGGCGGTAACTACTGCTTTGATTACGGCCTCAAATAACCAGCTGGTTTGTGTGTGTGTGGTTGGGGGTTTTATGGTCGTCGGTTATATAAATTGCTCTTCATGGTATTGATATTTATTCATGGTGCCCGGAACGCATCTGCGCAAGAGGGGGGTATAAAGTCATGTGAATTTGTCTGCTTTTGAAAAACAGATGTAACCTTTTGTTAAAGCAGATAGGCATATACTAAAGGATTTTATTAATAAAGGTTTGCGGTTTGCATCAAATTATTTGTAGGTAATTTTTCGTAATTGTTCATCACATTTTTAATGATGCTCCAAAAGTTACCGCCCCCCGTCCCCCCTCCGCAGTTCATATATTTCATCATGAACCCCTACCCACTTACAGCCAAATGTGAAAGTGAATTCTTCAGGTTTAACTGTCTGTTGAACATTTTTACTCTGGATGGTGCCTGGTTGAGGGAATGGTGTGCGTGTGTGTCCGTCCCATAGGTGGCTACCTATTTTGCCTGTAGGGCTGACTTGCTCCCAGGGCTTGTGCTTGCCGGCGAGACCTGTTGGTACATGTCCTTTTCGTGGTGGACCACCCCCCCCCGTGCAGTAGGCTTGCTCTATGGGACATGTTCACATGCGTCTGTGGCATTTTCTCAGCTGCCCGGGAATGTCACTGCTGCATTTGCACACGCCGAGCTCGTGGCTGTGGCTGCTGGCTGTGGCTGCATGCTCAATCAAGTACCACATCCTTAGAAAAAGTTTTTTTTTTTTATATATATAATATTTTTGCAGGGGTTGGAATATATGAGCAATTATGTTGTATTTGCTGAAAACAATACAGTACATAAGGTGGTTTTGATGCCTGTCATTGCAAATAAAAAATAATGGAATTATAAGGGAGTTTTGTGTAATGTCATTCATTTTAATGTTTCTTTCGACTTATTTGTTTCTTTTTAACATTTGGTGAAGATTCCCCCACTTTCTGCATGAGTGAGGAGTTTTTTTTTTCTTCATTTTAAACCGCTGACTTTTTCATGGAGGTGGCACTTTGAAGGGCATCCAGATCAGTAAAATGTCAGATGTTACCTGCCTCCCTGTCTCGGAGAAGAACAGAAAATAAACACAACAACATGTAGTTAAAACATGCTTGATTGTGGTCGGGCCTTTGTGAGTATAACAAGCGTATTTATTTATTTGGGTAGTCTTTGTTCTCTGAAAGCTCATTTTGAGATCGGTGCCCCCGAATACATGCAGCATTTCAGCAGAGCGCCCTCCCGTTAGGACACAGGCCTGCTTGAGCCTGGAGGTGGGAAATGTGTCTATGTTCTCCTGCCCTGTAGAAGCACAGTGTCACTGCAGTACTGGTTTTGTTCTACACTGCAGAGTCCCCCCCCCCAACCCCAT